CAGAGGAGTGAAACGTTGTCGTTTAAGGTATGAACCAGAGAGAGGAGAAAATATGAAGGAAGATGAGGATAAGAAGAAGAGTGTGGAGATTTGATTAGGGTTATGGTTGTGTGATATTTCCATTGCCAAATGTTGGAATTTGAATAGGGTTTTTAGAAGGAATAATTGGTAACGCATACCAAAAAAGGAAGAGAAGTTTAATTTGAAATATTGGAAGCCACTAATAAAACCATCTTGCTGACTCAGAAGGATAATTTTTGATAAGTTTGTATTAAACTTTTAAGATGAGAACGATAAGATTTGTTTTTTTTTTGTGATAAGAGATCATTCTGATTTTTCTTGAATTATTTATCAGTTTTCCAAAGAGGTCAATTTCAGTACGAACCTATCAAATCCAACTCGATTACTACAAACAGAACGATGGCTCTAATAAAGTAGCAAAAACCAAACCTAGCTGTTTTTAACGAGTTATCACGGGGAAAAAGTGACACCTAAGTGTTAAAAAAAAATCTCTTTTTAAAATTAAAAAAATTATAAAGATCTTTCAGTTGAAACATACACATACTTTTGTTTTCTTAATTATAAAAAGCATGCCTAATTGTACACAAATTAAACTCTTTCTTGATAAACACAAATGATGATGAGAAAGCGTGCGATTGCGTGCTGCTTTTGCTGAGGATTTAAAACATTGTTTTTGAAATATGTTCTTATTGAGATACAAATGAGTCAAAACGAGTAAACTATGTTCTCTTAAAACAAATGATACGAACCCAAAACACAAATGCAAGATTTAATTAAAGAGAAAGAGTCATGTTTGATTGCTTCTTCAGCATTTGGTAAGCCATAGGAGAATCTCAAATAACAAAACCATTTATCGAAACTGTGTTCTAGAGCTCACGTGAGAAACTCATATGCATCAGAACATGACAAAGACGTTCAAACAAAAAAACCTCTCTCTATATGGAACAAACCCTGCAAATAAGCTTAAGCAAACGAATTGGGCAAATTCGAATTATCCACGACACTTACTCCCAAGTCCCAACCGTTGAATCCTTTTTCGACAACCAACAGGGATTCTGGTTCCGCACTCACTTCTCAGCAGAATACATTATCAAATACTACATTTCTGGAATTTGAAAACTATGCAAGCTAAGTGACAAATCTCTACCTATCAGTTCCACTGCTGACAAAATGAAACTATTCGTTTCTAAATCGGGAACATAAGACTGACAATGAAACGTAAATCCAAACTCGATCACCAAACAAATGATCTTCACAATGTTTGTTCTTCGTACATTTTCTAATTAAGCATTCAGAAAGATCAAAC